TAATTCAATGCAAAAGAAACGTTAGCTTGCTCCTCTTTATGGTTTCAATATTCTTTCATATCAGGCTTGCAAAAACGTGTTATACTGAAATTCTCCTATGCTAAAATATGCAAAAACATGTTAAACAGTTGGATATGGGATTGAATATTATGAATTATAAATCTTTTAAAGGATTTCAAGTTTTTTACTTCATTTCTAAACGCCTTTTAGTGAACATATCTTGTCAGGTTTTTTGATTTGCGGCAAGTGATTTCAATGTTTTATATATATATACCGGGCTTGCCAACACCTGTTATACTGGAATTCTCCTCCACAGAAAAGTCCAAAAACAAGTTTGATATGGGATTGGATATTATGGATTTTTCGCTTTTGAAAGGATTTTTATTTTTTAGGAGGTTGGAGATTGCGCGGGAAGCGATTTCAAAAAAAATATATTTTTATACCGGGCTTACAAAAACCTGTTATACTAGAAATCTTCTGAATGAAAATATCCAAAAACAATTTAACAGCTTCATATGGCATTGGATATTATGGATTTGTCGCTTTTCAAAGGATTTTTATTTTTTCAACTGTATTTTTTAGAGCGTTTCAGGAGGTTGGTGATTGCGCGGGAAGCGATTTCAATATTTTTTTTTATATACCGGGCTTACAAAAACCTGTTATACTGGAAATCTCCTGAATGAAAATATCCAAAAACAATTTAACAGTTTCATATGGCATTGGATATTATGGATTTGTCGCTTTGGGAAAGGATTTTTATTTTTTTAACTGTATTTTTTAGAGCGTTTCGAGAGTTTGGTGATTGCGCGGAAAGCGATTTCAATATTTTTTTTTATATACCGGGCTTACAAAAACCTGTTATACTGGAAATTTCCTGAATGAATATATCCAAAAACAATTTAACAGTTTCATATGGCATTGGATATTATGGATTTGTCGCTTTTGAAAGGATTTTTATTTTTTTAACTGTATTTTGGTACTTGGTTGGTGTACTTTTGGTATTTTGGTACTGAGGTTGGTGATTGCGCGGGAAGCGATTTCAAAAAAWATATATTTTTATACCGGGCTTACAAAGACCTGTTATACTGGGATTTTCCTACACCAAARAGTCCAAAAACAAGTTCAACAGTTTCATATGGGATTGAGTATTATGAATATTTTGTTTGTCAAAAGATTTCTATTTTTAACTACATTTTTTAAAAGCGTTTTTTCGATACATATCTTGTCAGCTTGTTCGATTTGCGGCAAGCGATTTCAATAATTTTGTATATTTTTTCAGTTATATTAAATCAATGGTATTAAAAGTGAAGGAGTTTTCTAGGCTGCGGTCTACTGTTTTGACACTTTTCTATATTTTTCTGCTTGTTTTTAATAAAACTTACATGAATTAACAACACCTCTTATAATGCGCAAAAAAACTGCGTTGACAAAAGTTTGGAAAAACTTTGAAAGAAAAGTTTGAAAATAAAAGAACGAAAAGTTCCAGTCTGTGTGCTATAGTTTCTCGCAGGTCAAGGTTTTGCGAGATATTTAAGTGATACCTAAATCTATAAAGCTCTATAAGAATTCAATTTTCTTTAAAAAAAAAAGAATTTGAATTTTTATTTAGACCAAATGATCATTTTACCACAGGGACCCCAAAGTCACTTCAATATAACCACAGGTATCCCGTAAATGGTTCCGGGGGTGGGGTTAACTAGAGGATCACATGGTTTTTATTGCGCTAGAGTTAACCTTTTGATGTGGCAACAAAAATCCTACGAACTCCCCCCTCCCTAGCTAGGGA